TCCTGCTGCCGTCTGGTTCAGGTCTACATGACTGATTTTTTGAACTATTGCAAGGCCATCCCATTAAGAGAATCCTTAGCTCTAAACAAGCTTCCATCTAATTTCTTGTTGGTACAAGTGAAGAACTGGGTTTTCTAAGAAGCAATACCCACATATGACAATCCTGTTCTAAAATCTTTAGTCCTCCTCGCTGAACAAAGTCTTGATTCTTTAGCCCGAAATTGCAGACCTGCTCAAGCTGTTTCCAATCTTCTAGTACAGAGTCTATCTCTCCCCTGTATGTGTCCATTCGAATTTTCAAAGTGAATGACCTGAGGTTTACCAGGTCATGTCCATACTTCCCTCCACCATTGACCATGTTGGTTTCCTTCTGGAATGCCCTTCTCTACTACTTCTACTCGTCAGAGCCACATCCATCCTTTGACTTCCACAAGTTCTTTCTTTTGTCTGAGATTGCTTGCTATTGTCTGGGTTTCTTTTGAGCTACCTCGATATTTATTTATTTATTTATTTATTTTGGAGAGGTTTTTGCTATAGGGCACGTGTGCTCGCCAGACAGAGAGAGATAGAGAGACAGAAAGCGAGAAATCACCCCCCGGGGGGATGGCCATGCCGCAATCCCTTCTCCATTCTCCTCTCGGGATCTGAGTTTAAGCCACCAGGTCCGGGACACGAACTGCATAGCCATTATGCTAACTTCTGGTCCCGCTACCTCTATTTTTAACTGCTGGTATAGTCTCATCTTTCCCACTGAACTGTAAGCTCCTTGAGGGTAAGGATGTAAGTGAATAGAAAAATTACACAACGATGTTCAGTGAATGAATGTAAAATACATAAATTAATAAAAAAAAGACTCACAATGAAAAAAAGAGAAATGTTTAAAAGAGTCATTCAGGTTGAAATGAAATAATGCTAGACAGTAACTTACAGCTATATGAAGATATAAAAATGTCCAGCAAAGGTAAATAGATAAAGCCAGATATAAAAACATGCATTTTTAAAATTTTGCTTTGTAATTCTAATTCTTTCCTTCAAGATCTAAAATACAAATACATGCAAAGAAAAGAAAAGAAAAACTACATAACAAAACCAGAAGCCCCCAGGTCTAGTCTGGACAGATCCACGAGTTGACTCAAATCATTCCCCCTCTCTGGGATGTCTTCCTCATCCTTATTTAAATGAAGACCTACCACCAGAGGACCTTGTCCTCAAAGGTCCTTTCTATGTTTAAGGCTCTGTTTACATATATAAATCATGGAGTTTCTCTGGGGTCAGCTTTCTTATCTACTAGCACACCCTATACCTCATAGAGTTACTTTGAGAAACTAAGTAAATAATATTCAGAAAATATAAGCAACTTTTAAAGAGCAAGACTGCAGAAATATGAAGTAATTTGTTTTACATTATTCATTTTTAATTCACAATTGTTTAATACTTTTTCTGGTGTGAATATTTAGGGAACAGAATACTAGAAATAAAGTAACTTCAAGAATTATATCAGTTTTCAAATACAACTATTTTGTATTTATAGGCTCTTTTACTAGTTGACTTTTTCCTCTTTAGTATCAAAGAAGGAAATCACTAGTATTTTATGTATTGAATTGTTTATGTTTAATTAATTAGTCTGAAAATTATTAGCTATCCATCACATGATAGGGCTCAAAGAGAAAATGATACCCAGTCCCTGTCTTTAGAAGACTCACTGTCAGATGAGGAGAGATAAAAAAAAATCCACTAGAAGAGGTGGGTGTGTACTTCAGTCATGGGTTATGTAGAGTGCTAGGGGGTCTACCTGAGTGGCAAGAAGGTGTTGCTTGCTATAAATCTGTAAGGGTGAGCAGGAATTGTCTTAGGTAGGTTGGTAAAAGAAGAAATTTGTAGGGATCAGCAGTTAGCCTAATGGTTGTGTCGCCAAACTCCCATATAGTCAACCGTGGTTTGAGTCCCAGACCCGGTGGCTTAAACTCATGCTGAGCACATGTACGTGCGTGCCCAAGTTCCCGAGAGGAGAATGGAGGAGAAGGGATTGCGGCATGGCCATCCCCCCTGGGGGGGGGTGATTTCTCTCTTTCTGTCTCTCTGTCTCTCTCTGTCTTTCTGGCGAGTGCACATGCCCTATAGCAAAAACCTCTCAAAAAACAAAAACAAAAACAAAAACAAAAACAAAAACAAAACAAAAAAAAGAAGAAGAAATTTGTAGCAACTCCAAAGAGCCTGGATACATGTGGAAAGGAGGGATGGAGAAATTCTATGGGAAAAATATATCTATATACATGAAAAAATATACATGTACTAGCTAGCATTATGGCATAGTTTAGCTACCAAAGGTTCATTAAGTAAGAGACACTCTCTGATCCATTGGATATGTGTGAATGTATTTTATGTTTTAAACATGTCTGAAATTTTATCCAGTATGAAATGTCCAATACACATAATGAATGTTCTAGATATTGTGGCCAAATTGTGAGGGGGGTCACTAAAGTGTTCTATACTGCTACAAACAATTTTCTCATCTATTGATACATCCACGTAGGAGATTTAAAAAAACAAAACAAAACAACAACAAAAACAGAAAGAGAAGAGAAGCTGGCTCCTATAAATAGAAGCTCTGGGGCTAGTAGGTGGCGTGGTGGTTTAAGTGCTGGACTCCTACATGGCCAACTGTGGTTCGAGTCCCAGACCTGGTGGTTTGCTTTCTCACTTCCTGTCTCTTTTTCTCTCTCTCTCTCTAGTGAGTGCATGTGGCCTACAACAAATAATAATAATAACAAAATGCTAATGAACAAACAGAAGCCATAAGAGGAAATGCTTTTCTTGTGGTTTTGCTCTCTTTGTTGGTATTTCTCTACAAGAAGGGATTTCCTGTTGGGGATGGGATTCCCGCTCTTTAACCAGCTTCCGTGTTTACCATTTCAACAGAACATGGCTTCTAGATGGACTAGCTCCCACTCCATCTATTTAGGCACTTGAAGCTGAGCTCCCTGATTACATACCTCCCACACTTGTCCTTTTTATGGAAATCTGCTCCGCTGCTCTGCAAGAGTTTGATACATTCCACATTACTAGAAAGACAGGGAAAACATCATTAAGACAGTGGAGATCAATTACTGCGCTATCTTCAGAAAGAGTTGCTTTCTGCAGAGTGCAGAGCAAGATGAAATGACAGCTCCAGGTTTAAATTCTGCTAACGCAAAAATAACCTGAATATTTTAGAGTAATGCCATATTATGAGGACCCAAAGTTCCTAAAGTTCCTTTTTTGCAGCTAATAAATCCATCCATTAAAGAGTGTGGTGGAACGGTTCCAATTCCATGATGAAGGAATATAATGAGTATTACCTGATTAAACCCTCCAGTGATGGTTTCATCATTTATCCTAAAATTCTTTTTCAAAACCATCCAGAGTTTATGGAACAACCACTTAAACCTATAATAATTTCATGTCACCTTAAATAATGAGCCAGAGTGGATAAGCATTACCTTTTATCACAGTAGAATGAATTCACCATGATAATCACTTTCAACTATATACTCCTTAATGGAAAATAAACAGCTGCATTTCCCTGCCTTTGTAATCTAGGTGAATAAGTGTGCAGAACCAAGGCTGAAAGTGATGTAATGGAGCATAGTGATCTTCCAAAGCTTCTTTGTCATTTGCAGTGACAAAGAAGCAATAAATCATGTTTAGAAAAGAGAAAAGGATCCATTTAAGTGACTTTCCTACTGAAAAGCACATACCTAAATATTAATTCTAATCGAAATTTTGAAAATGAATCCACTTTCTGTATAGGCTAATACTTTTAAAACTGTGAGCATAAAAGGAGATAATCATCCATCATTGCTCTAAAGTTGAGATGCTAAGAGGTAGCCTGGAAGTCATTGTTTCATTATAATTTAAATAAGAAAAATGATCTCATTAATGACAAACCTGGGCAGGGCTCTCCCTGCCCCACAACCACCCTTTATAGCCACCTTTGTCAGAGAACTAGTCAGGAACTATTTTGGTCATAAATCTAGGAACTTTTCAGAACATGTATACATCGGCGCAGCATGCCACTTAATACGAAGCACCTGTCTGGTACTTTGATGCCAAAGGATTGAGGTAGAGGCAGTTGTGTTGCTTGTGAAGCTCATACGATTTAGAGACTGGGGTAGAGGGAAGGGGCTCTTTTGAACAATAACATGAATTCTGAATTCAGAGCTAAGTATAAGACTTCAAAAGCGACCCAAGTAAATTGGAAGCCCAAATGCTTCAGTTAATCCACCTTTTATAAATAGGTAATGCCTTTGGTAATGTATAGATGACAAATGAAGAAACATTGCGGTCCCTCAAGAACCAGGAAACTGATAAAGAACCAACACCTTACTTAAACAAGCTCATGCAAGAAACACCATGTTGATCAATGCGTGGTCACACGCCAATAGTATATGGATCAGAACTATAATCCACCCGTGGATATGAAAGAGAGAGTAGCTGATGAAAAATTCTCTTTTCAACTCAAAGGAGCAAAACGAAGGCAAGGATCAAATCACCTTTGGCCTTTTGCTTGGGTTTTCTTGAACTTTGTTCACATTTATCATTACAAAGCCTTAAAATTAGTTTTGAAAAAAGAACAAAATTGTCTATAAATGAACATGAATTACTTAAATCTTGGATTCTCTTGATCTTCACTCACCTACCAGCAACAAAAGAAGAAAAAGGTAGGAAGGGTTTTAAAATTATTATTGTTATTATTGTATAGTCTGAAAATCTATAATTAAAAAAAGAGGAAGACGAAGAAGAAAAAGAAAAGAAAGAGAGAAAAGAAAACAAAAGAAAAACTACTTGTTATTGTTTTTGGTGGGAGAGCAATATACTAGTAATCTGGAAATGCAACACAGTGAGATTTAATATTTGTTAGAAAGGATTCTCACTCATTTTATGAAGAAAATGCCTTTAATTCACAGACAACTTAGGTCAATTAAGATAAATTAGTAATTAAGTCAGAAAATAACTGAAGTTACTAACTACTTACCCTCCTGCAGCAGCAGCATGAAGGCACGTTCTTCCAAATTTATCTGGGGTGTCTATTTCAAAGCCTGCAGACAGCACGTGCTCATTACTAAACAAGGATACTATGCTATACTTTTGTCCTAGTTAAACCACAAGAAACATTGCAGAGACAGAAAAATCAGTTAGTAGAAAAACCAGAACGCAAGCAATTGTAGTCAGAAAGAGGTTGTCATGGAAACGAATGGTAACTGCTCAAGCTTGGCAATTTTATAGGAAGAACCATGAAGTCAAGAAGGATTTATTTTCCCATTCAGCACTGGGTGAACTGCAGCCCCATTTTTCAATCCCAGGATAGAAAATTTATGAAACCAATTTGAGATAAGTAGGGCAATAGACAGGCAGACAGAATACATGAAGAAAACACGGAAGGCCAGGAGTAATCCTAACATGCTAGATAGAGATTTACTTAAGTGTATCCCAACCTTTCAGTTGGTTTAAGATTTGGAAAACAAGCTTTCATGCAGGAATTATTTTTAAACATGTCAAAAGCAGTGAAAGTAAAATCAACCAGAGGTAAAGTGCTGAAAGGGGAAAAAAATGCCTCTGGGATATCCGATGAATTAATTCATAAACAATCTTTGCTTTGCAGACGTCTATCACTTTGGAAAACCCAGAAACTTCTTACTCTATAGGGGCTGCCGGAAGCTATGATAAGAAAGATTAGTAAAGCTCCAAACCAGAAAACGTGCATTGGTTCCAAATAGCCCCACATTGAAAAAGCAAAAATTATGCCTAGCTGGATAGAATCAGACATAGTGATTTCTTCATGCCCCGGGAGTGGGGAAGGTAACCTGACATTTTCTATCACTAAATGTAGGGAATTTGGCCTTTTCTCTTTGTTGAAAACATTTGGTATTAAGCCACCATTTTAAGTCTCAAAGAAGTTTTTCACTTCTGACTCAAATGATTAAAAAGCTCCCGCCATCCCTGCCTCTTCCTCACCCTGGATCACCCAAGATTTAACTTGGAAAATAGACAAGACTCTTATTCTGGAGCAGGAGTGCTGACATTCAGACAACACCAAGGGCTACTGGGAGCTGTCACATGCAGTTAGCTCTGGAGCACAACTCATCCTGCCGGGTCAGGAAAGACACGAAGCACAGATAGCCACTCACGCTGACTACACACCTGAAGCCATGTGACTCACGTACAGGACACAGTAAGCCTCATTTGTGGTAATGGATTTACTTACCCGATGACAACAACTTCCTGCAGCAGTCAGAGTGAGCATTTAGGGCAGCTAAATGTAAAGGGAACATGCTATGGATTCCACACCTGAGGAGGAAAAACAGAGCTGCTCACAGTAACAGATCTCAACCTACATGCCGAAGGACCATTACTTTCCTAGGTGTTCTCTAATGAAAATTAATGACAACTTGTGTAAGGACCCTTGGCTGAAATAATTTTGTAATTCTCCCACTCAAAAAATAATGATGCGATCATTTCCGAGCTTAAAATAATGAAGTCCTGAATCTAAACTAGAATTAAAAGCCCATAAAGAGGGGCTAGCAGGTGGCAAGGGAGGCTAAGGTGCAGGACTCCCACATGGCTGGCCATGGGTCAAGTCCTGGACCCGGTGACTTGAAAAAGCATTCCAGGCACATGTGCATGTGTGCCCAAAATCCTAGGAGGAGAATGGGAGAGAAAGGATTGCAGCATGACTATTCCCCTGGGTGGTGATTTCTGACTTTCTCTCTTTCTCTTTCTTTCCCCCTCCTCCCCCAGCAAGCACACATGCCTGATGGCAAAAACCTAGGGGAAAAAAAAGCCCATAAACACAGGAATGTATATTTTTAAGAAATTTTGTTTCACATAAACAGAAACTTTTTAAATTTAAAATTAATTTTCTTTTTATTTTCTTTCAGCTTAGCAATTATACATCCCACTCATTCATTCACCCGTCTGTTCAACACTTTCTAAGTATCAGATACTATCCTAAATACCAGAGATAACAATGCTGAGCAAGAAAAACTCTCAACATTGAAAAACAACCTGTTTTAGTCTTGATTTGATAAATAGATACTTTTTTTAAGGAGAGATTTTTGCTATAGGGCATGTGTGCTCACCAGAGAGACAGAGAAAGATAGAGACAGAAAGCAAGAAAGCACCCCAGTGGCACCCAGAGGAGATGGCCATGCCACAATCCCTTCTCTTCCATTCTCCTCTCAGGATTTTGGGCATACACGCACATGTGCCCAGTATGAGTTTCAAGCATCCAGGTCCAGGACTAGAACCATGTGAAAGTCTAGCAATGTAACCACTACACCATCTGCTGGTTCCCAACAGATGCTTACTATTGACTTTTCATGTGCCATGCACTTTGCTAAGAGTTAACAGTGGCTATATTACTGAAAATAAAATTTTAGGCTTAAAAGCTAACATTTACTTTTTTTTAGATGAAACTTCATCATCCTGAGGTATTCTCATGTTGTTCATTAACCCATATCACGATAGCCACAAAAACACAATTGGAAGTAATAAGCATTATTTTACATATACTTCATAAACCCAGCATATTTTTTTTTCTAATAGCATCACACCCCCCAAAAAAATATCTAGAAAAAACGCAGACTGACCCCCACTGTAACACAGTCCTCAGGACAATCCTCTAAGGACAGGTAGCCCTCTGATGGCAGTGACTTTTGCCTTCAGAGTTGAATCCTCCACCTCTTCCCAAGCACCTCTTCTTGAACAAGGACCAAAGCCATGTGCTACATTTTAGTTCATAACAAAAGGCATCATGGGGTGGTTTCTGTGTACTTATAAGTATTTATAATGTTAGTGATCATTTCTCATATCTTATATATTTTTTGAATTATTTATTCATTTAATTTTATATGCTATTTTTCAATATGTCCAGAGAGAGAAAGAAACAGAAATTGAGAAGGCAAGCCGTCTGGTCCAGGATTTAAACTGCAGTTAGCCATATGGAAGTTCAGCACCCTAACCACCATGCCACTTATGGGCCCTCATATCTTATATTTTTATTTATTTATTTATTTTTTGAGAGGTTTTTGCTATAGGGCGCATGCACTTGCCAGACAGACAGAGACAGAGAGAGAGAGAGAGAGAGAGAGAGAGAGAGAAATCACCCCCCAGAGGGGATGGCCACGCCGCAATCCCTTCTCCTCCATTCTCCTCTTGGGATCTTGGGCACGGACACACACGTGCCTGGCATGAGTTTAAGCCACTGGGTCTGGGACTCGAATCGCGGTCGACTACGTGGGAGTCCAGTGACATAGCCATTATGCTAACTGTTGGTCCCATCTTACATTTTTATAAATTTGCAAGAGGGCACGTGCATTTACCAGAGAAAGAGAGAGACTCAGAGAGAGGAAAAGTGAGAAAGCACCTCCCATGGGGAATGGTCATGCCACAATCCTTTCTCCTTCATTTCTCCTTTTGGGATTTTGGGCATGAATGCACATGTGCCTGACACTGTTTTCAGGTCACCAATCTGGGACTCAAAGCATGTAGTAGGCCATGTAGAATCCAGCCTCCTTAATTGCCATGCCGCTGGCTGGCCTCATAACATCTCATTTTAATCAACTAACATATTTCAGATGTTAAAAAAATCCTCTCTATAACACCAACAAGTATGAGACCATTGACATCTTGCAGCATTGATCACCTAAGTTTCTTCTCTGGTACAAAGCAGTCCATTTTCAGATTCCATACTCGATAAAGAAATACATACGATACGATTGGAGTTTGTTAAGCTTTGGATAAGTGAATTTTATGTGACATTCCCCCCATTATTATTACTATTACTACTATGTGTGCAAAAGTGTCAAAGTATCTACATCTTCACAGATTTTTTCACAGTATTCAGCACTCTGCAAAATCTGAGGCTGTCGGTAATTAACCACCACTCTCTCCATAATAACTTCGATTTGTTGGGGTTTTTGTTCAGCCTTCTCTCTGTTGGTTTTCCTTTCCCTATATGGAGATTTCCAACCCAGTGTATGTAATAGCTGGCATCCATCAAGGGATGCAATTTTCCCGTCTTCCGGGCAGTGTCATGTGGAGGAGAACTGCTTGTAATTGCCTCTCTCATCATTTACAAAAAAAAAAAAAAAAACAACTCTGAAAAGCAATTGCATCAGTGATGACCTTGATGCTCATGAAAAGGAAGAGGGATTTGGGGGATGGGAAAGAAGCTTTTTTATTCACGCTATTATTTATAGTGTTCTCTTCTAATATAAGAGAAACAATGTGTTACATGTTTACACTTGTTTTAAAAGCTCCTTACTAAATAAAACCTTAAGATAATGTGATTTTGTCTCAAGTTTTGTTTGGGGAAGTTAAGACAAAAATACATAATTAAATATCCCTGGACATTTGGAAGAGGAAAATGAATAGAATTTTTTCTAAAATGGTTTGAAGTTCTCAAAAGAATGTGCCTAACATTGAGACTGGATTTCTCAAGATTTCGTTGGACCTTCTTCATTCTTTACAAATACAGGTATACACATGCATACATATGTAGATGTACACATACAAACATGCACACACATATACTCACTATATGTTATAAAGATATATAAAATGTACATCTTTATATAAAATAATACAAAGAAAGGAATTATAAAAAATAATCTTAAACTCCATAAGAAAGCAATTGAGAAACCCAAAATGTACCAATATCATAATACAGTCCATAAACTTCATTGTCAGTACTTCTAATCAATCTTGCCACTTAACCCCTGTCTTTAGACAATTCATCACTCACTACATTAGCTAATTAAATAATTTTTCTCACCACTACTTATAAACCTGAGAAGATGACAGAGATAGAATCACTCCAGTTTAAAAGATCTAGTAAAAATTCTGTTCGATATATATATTTTTCTCTACAGTTAATAAAATGTCACCACTTCAGCATAGACTTTCAAAACATTAATATAGACTCAAGTACTGTCAGCATTTGAACTGGAAAATGATACTAGAGTTCAAATATAAAACTAAATATTAAGTCAAGATCAGAAGAAAAGTGTAATGTCTAAATCACTGCAAAAATGACTCAAGCATTTCAAAATAAGATTACTCCTTTATTGTTATAAAATAAGACTGTTGATTATGCAAAGATTATAATACCTTTAGCAGAAAATTAGAACTTGGACCGTCTTAGTCAAATAGGAAGCATCACTCTTATTTCATCAGTTATACATTAAAAATCAAGAATAAAAATATCAAATAAGACTAAAGTTAACAACACATAAGTTACGGGAAAGAGGAAACCAATTGCAGTTAAATTGCTACAGTTATTTGAACAGTCATAAAATTAATGGAACACATTTGTATTATCTATTTTTAATTTAGGTTAGCTGGCATCTCTTACCCAGTTATTTCAGAGTAAATGAGCTCTGAAAGACTGTCCACTGTAGAGAGCTCTCAGAGGTGAAGCAAAGGACTTTTGCACCATTAGAATATGGGTTCAGTTAAGCTTTCTCCTTAGCATCACAGAGACATGGCTATCCTTTCCTACATCAATCTTTTCTAGAACCTTCCATTTGGGGCATGTGGTAAACAACACTGTGATAGGTGATGGTGCCTGAAACTTTGGGTTTGAATCTTAGTTTTGCTACTTGCTAGCTATTTGATCTTTCCAAGTACACAATGATTCTCTCATCAGGAAAAGAAAGATTACTACCGTGTCTGCATCATAGAGTACTTATAAGGGCTCATCGAGATAATGCACACAAAGTGCTAAACAGAGCATCTGGCACATGATAAGCCTTCAATATATAGTTACTATTACTATTGCCCTAGTGATTATTATTAGCTTAACTGGTGATCCAGAGTCTTGAGTTTTGAAGTTGTAATCAGGTCGTGTGCTCTTGAAAGCCAAGAATGAATTATGATCAGATAACATTTCTATTATCTGTGTTTCTAAGTTCCTTACTATATAGTCATCCCTTGGAATCTGTGGGGAACTAGTTGCAGGACTGCCTCAGAAACCAAAATCCATGGATGTTCAAGTCCTTTACAACTGGTCCTTTGAATCTTCAAGTTCTACGTCTATAAATGCAGAGGAAATTCTCTCCAGGTTGGTTAAATAATGAATGCAAGAACCGGTGGATAAGAAGGACTCACTACTTATGTCTTAACTTTCCTAGGGAAGTGAGTTTGGTTTCAGTTTACTCACAGAGTGGGGCCAAAAAAAAAAAAAAATTCCTAAGTTTAGAAAATCATAAAAAGATTTTATGATTCTTACCCAAATGACCAACCCAAATAAAAAAAAGAAAACAAACTTCACAAACTTTATCAATGCC